TTTTTTTTTGGTGTCAATTATTGGGTAATTGGAGTCTTTTTAAATATTTTTTGAAAAGAAAAATTGGGACTTTTTTAGCCCGCATATGTATTTCTTACATTTATCATATTAATTTTTCAAAGTTTGTTGCAGTGATGATATCATCATACTTGATAGTATATACCAATGCTACATGAAACGTCGACAATTATGTCGACCTGAGCGGTTAATCGAGCAACCTAACTTCTAATTGATTTTTAATCGTTGTATTCCTTGACTTCATCGTGTTTTTTTTTTTTTTGTAATTTTTCAATTTATTTTGTGTGATTTTTCTTTTTGGTTTGAATTGTGACTTAATGCGCTGATGTTTGCTAGATTTATATGCACAGGACTCTAAAGAACAAGTTTCTCATCTAATATTTTATTGTCCATCAAAGTTTCCATGGAAATCTGATTGTAGAATTAAAAACTGGCAGTTTGGTAATGGCAACCCAAGAATATATAGGCTGATATATTGACTATTTTATTTTTGAAAGCTTGAAATCCAGGTATGGTATTGAATATAAAAAGATAATATCAAAATGAACATTCAGTTTCCTGTATAAAGTTAATTTACTTGATCTATTGATTTGGAAACACCATTTTCATGTAACAGTTGCTGTACTTCATTGTGTTTTCATTTCTGGTTTGCGATTCATTGTATGAAAGCTTTGATGATTACTTTACTTGCAGCTCGAGTCTGGTGATACATACAGTCTTGTCCTATACGGTGCTGGTGCTTTTGTTGGCATTTGGTTGGTTTCAGCCATTGTTGGTGCTGTCGATTCCATCCCATTGGTAAGTAGTTCTTACATCACCTCTGTAAGAGTTTGCATGTCCTTTGAAACTGTAAAAAGAAAATAATTTTAGGAGTGTTGTTTGATAACGTTGTTGTTAGTTTTGAGATGAATCTATAACTGCGAAATCTTGTAATTTAGATCCCCAAGTTGTTGGAAGTTGTGGGGCTTGGCTACACAGTTTGGTTCACAGCCCGCTTCTTGTTATTCAAGGTAATTTCTTGAAGTGGTTTGATTTGGAATCCTGTATTTCCTCCAAATAAGTGATGAATGAACTTATTTCTGTCTTGCTGCGACCTTTCAGGAAAGTAGAGATGAATTGGCTGCCAAGATTGGTGAGGTAAAGGAGCAAGTTCTTGGTTTAGATGACGACTGATTTGGTCACCAAATTTTTTCTTGTTATACGTAGGTAGGTAGTTTACCTTYGCATAGATAGCTGGATGTGCTGATGAACATATATGATATAGATCATTACATTTGCTTTTCTAATGGAAAAGTCAACATTACATTGATAGAATCATGGTTTACCTATAATTGTTACAATTAGAACACGAGAAACAATGCGTTTTTTTAAATAACCGAAAACAAGGAAGTGCATGTTTATAATAGGAATGAAAATGGCATTCAAGGAGTCTGGTTGACAAGGACTTGGGAGTCTCTTGGTTATATTAGTTTAGAGATCTCAAGTTCGAACTTTCTGGAGAGTGTAATACAAATTTTTCTTGATCTATTGGGTCCAGATTTTGGTGCGAGTGTGATGCCACTCGGTTTAGGGAAGTAGCTAGTTATATATATATAAAAGGAGAATGAAAATGTGAATGACAAAATTTTTCGATTGTATTGTCAGTAACGATGGGTAGAACAGAGGAGGGGATGAAAGGGAAATGATTAGAATGGTTATGGGTCAAATTCTCACTTGCACTATTATTATACTAACAAGAGAGTTAGTTGAATAAGAAAAATTTTCTTAAGCAATATCATAAAACAAGAATTGAACAGCAATCTAGAATTTTCTTAATTTATATTAGTAAATGGAGTATCATGAAACATATTTAGGACATCTCTTATTCAGAGGTGCAAGTGTCTTGGTTGGGGTTGGGTCAGTTTTTGGGCAAAATTAACACCGAATCAACATACCAATTAAATTGATTTTTGATAAACTTCATCGAATCAATACATTTGGACAAAATTCAATTTTGAACCGACTTAGCTATTTTTTAGTTTTATATTTTAGAAAATTGAATCAAGTATGGTTCAAATTGGTTGAACTAATTTGATTGGGCTAGTTTCTTTAAAAAAAAAGAAAAGAAAAAAAAAGGACTGCAGTTTAATCTCTCAAAAGCCTTGGAAACGTTTCATGTAGTGGGAATGTGAGAGAGAATATTTTGAAGCAATTTTTCTTTTTTAGTACAATTTGTATACCTTTTAAATAAGTTATAAATTTTCAAGAAGTTTTATAAAAAAAATATATATATTCAAGAATTTAGAATTCATATCAGTACTCATTAATATTTATATTCATATAAGTGGTGTGTTTCAAAGGCAACATTTAATTTTTATCCATGAACTTAAACAGTTGATTATGATTTTAAACTTGGATAAATCTCACATTCTTTTATTAAACTTTCGCTAAACTTTCATTAGCTTTTTTACTAATTTCAAAATAAAAGTCTTCCAAAAGCCAAACTAAAGAAACGTTTTTTAAAAATCAAATTTTAGTGAAAGTCAAAGTCGTACTAATTAATGTACAAAAATAACTATTGAATATTGTATTAAAAAAAAAAGATCAGCTACTGTATGTTATACTAACAAAAGATTCATTATTGAATAAAATTTTCAAAACTCATTGAACTCAATCTTATCTACTTAATACAAAACAATTCAGTAAAAAATTTAAAAAGTAAAAATTGCGACAATATTTGTATAATATAGTAATAGTATATTGGTATTAGTAACTCCTATTATGTCAAAAAAATATCAATAACTCCTAATTTTTCCAATTTTAAAAAAATACAATATGTGGATGAACAGCAAGGAAGAAAAAAAGAAAATTTAAAAGGTAAGAATTGCGACAATATTTGTATAATATAGTAATAGTATATTGGTATTAGTAAATCCTATTATGTCAAAAAATATCAGTAACTCCTAATTTAAAAAAAAAAGGAAAAAAAATACGTGGATGAACAGGAAAAGGACAAAAAAGAATACGTGGATGAACGGAAAAAAGGAAGAAAAATAATACGAGGAATAAAAACCGTCGCCTGAGAGATTCGAACTCTCGCGGGGAAACCCCATGTACTTAGCAGGCACACGCCTTAACCACTCGGCCAAAGCGACAATTTTGTTCACAAGTTTTTTTGTTATAATTATATGCTTTATTACATTCCAATTATCTCCTTCCCAATATCAGCCGTCTTCTCTTTGTAATAATTGGATGATATAAAGATAATCGGCAATTCATTTTGCATATAGAATGTATTTAGGGTATGCTTAGGCCAAAAGCACTTTTTTTTTCCTTTGCAAGTGGAAAAATTATTTGATAAATAAAACAATGCAACTAGTAGTCTTACCTGATTCAATATATGAGAGAGAAATTATAAGATTATTAAGGGCATATAGATTTAGAAACAAGCATCTAATAGGTCATTTGGATAATCACATTCAATAATTTTTCTTGCAGAGTGCTTTTGACCTAGGTGTTTGTTAAGGTAACACTTAAAAAAATCTCTAGAAAATAAAATCAAGTTTTATTGCTATATTGAAAAATTGAACAACTTTCAGTTTATCAAATTTGACCATAAATTTAGATAAAAAAAAAAATGTTGCAAAATTTACCATCTTTTCAATTTTCGTTAATTTACCCACAAATTTTAACAAATAACAATGTAAAAATGTTCAAAAATTCAGGGTCTATTTGATAACATTCCTGTTTCTTGTTTCGAGTTTCGAATTTTATTAAGAAATCTAAACATTTGACAACTATATTTCAAGATATCACAACCGACACAATACCAACATTAGCTTAGCTCAACGGTTAAGGCATCTTACTCCTTTCTTAAAGGTCGAGAACGGGGTGTCAATAAAACTCTACAACCTTCTCCCTTTTCTCTCTTCTCGCGATTTAGGCTTTTTGCTTTTATTGGATAAAAACCTAACTGAAATGAAAGTTTTATAAGATTACCACCGTAGTGTCATTCACTTTGCATGTGCCATTTTTTTATTCAGACTTGCAGCAACAAGACGCTACCTGTGACACCGTGACCTTAGCTAGTAGTTGTTGTAGCTCCATTTTTAACATCAACCTTATTAATTAATTTCGTCGGATAAAAATTAACAAATAATTTCGGTTAAGTAACAAACCTAGCATAACTCAATTGGTTAGGTACTATTTCTGACTAAAAGGTCATGAGTTCGAATTCTCACCCCACATATTGTACTAGAAAAACTTCAGACAGGTAATAACCCCAAATAAATCCTTTCCTTTGGAAGTTCTTTCTCGAATTGACCAACCTCTCATTGAACTATTACACACCAAAAATATTAACTTTACATAAAATTTCCCTTTTCTTTTTACTAGAGATACACCAATAGTTTCCTGTATAGAGGGGTTCCAAATCAAGTTCTTCTTCAACCTCAAACTAGCTATGATTTTACAACCTTTCTAATTATCTTATCAATGGCTCCAAAGTGCTTCATGGCTTTAGCCTTGATATCTCTGTCGTCCTTTTGCTCCTCAGTTCTTATATGAGTCTTGCTTCTCGCCAACTTACAAAAATGGCCCCAAAAAAAGCAACTAACAATCCTTCCATGGCTAATTAAATACGTGACTAGCTTTAAAAAATTCTCAATTTAGTATTTAATCTTTAAAATAGTTAATTTTAAACTTAAAGTACTGAAAATAATAATTTTTTCTTGGAAATATTGAAAATATTAAGTTAACATGCACGCTGATTGAAACATGACCCATCAATTCACAAAATCTATTGGTCAAATATGAAAACAAAAAAGCACATTAGATTAAAATTTTTAACAATACATACTTGAGAAGATTTATTGACATTGAGGAGGAAAAGACCAAGTTCTTGCAGCTTTGTCGAATAATTGGCCATTTTACTCCATTTAGATTTCAGAGACAATCCATGTTACCTCGTTCATTTCGGTTCTGTAAAATTCCTAGAATTAGTTTAAATGTCTAATGCTGAAAACAATGCCTTCTTCTACCCATCACCATGAAAATAGTCAGTCGGCACCTAAATATAAATGGCCTGAGAGAGAGAGTTTACACTTCACATTCACTCTCTTCAATATTTAATACATTATCTTACATTTTCAATTTCTTAAAAACTAGTCCCGAACTTTTTAATCAATGAAGAACTCAACTAAAGCAAGAAAATATATGCCTATCACATGACATATTTGTTGGACAATGACCAGGCTTAATTTTTAAACTCTGATTTAGCTTGTAACATTAACATGAAGTTTTTAGAATGACTAATGGTAGCAGCTGCACCAAAATTCTAAGGGAAATAACAAAACACCAGCCTGTCGAAAAGAACTTGCTAAAACAAAATTTGAAACACAAATCCAAGAAACAGGACATGTCAGAACAATTTCAAATCAATCAACCATAAACAATGTCTTCTTCCAACCTTTTCATCACCACTCCTAAGCTGTAACTGCTGCTTGGCTTGCAAGCCTCTTCCTAGCTTCTTCAATAATGGATAATTTAATACCTTTGCCCTTAGGAAGGGATACCCATGGCTTAGTACCTTTACCGATGGTAAAGACGTTGCCAAGCCGGGTGGCAAATTCATGGCCAGTGGCATCCTGAATGTGTATTGTTTCAAAGCTTCCCTTGTGCTTTTCCCTGTTCTTAATTACTCCAACCCGTCCACGATTCCTTCCACCTGTCACCATGACCACATTTCCTACATCAAACTTGATGAAATCAGCAACTTTGTTGGTCTCAAGGTCCAGCTTAATGGTGTCATTGGCCTTGATTAGAGGGTCTGGGTACCGAATTGTACGACCATCATAAGTGTTCAGATAGGGAATGCCCTTTTGCCCGAACTGCACAGAGCGGACTTTGCAAAGCTTGTACTGCAGAAAACAACATGAAAATCAACGTTAATCACTGAATGCTTCATGGACCAACTAATAATGTCACCATCATTTGCTCAAACGGATTAGGTTGCAAATTTTCCTTCATAAACCTCACATGACGTAATGGAGAAAAGCAACTTTGAACTAGCAAGTAGGAAAATGCATAATATTCCTTTTTTATAAATGACAACCAATGTGGAAATGTACTGTAAACTTAACAGATTTGTGCTACTTGTTCACAGGTTCCCAAGCAGTGATACATTTTAGGCAACAAAACAACTACTTAAGAAAATAATTTGTTAAAACTTGATATCAAAGAAAATAAGCAAATATATACCTTTGCCTCCTCATCTCTCACTGAGTGAAGACGGAATTGACCTTTGGTGTCATAAAGAAGACGGAAATTCTCATTTGTTTTGGGGATTGATACAACATCTACCAGAAGGCATCACAAAGAAGTGTCATATTCAGCATAGATAAAAAATAGTAATGTTTAAAGACAAAGCAATTCCCAATTGATACCACATCCTATATGAATGACTTATCTATGAAGTGACAATCACATCATTGGATCATGTAATCAAGTAAATATTATATGGACTATAACCCTTTGCAAGGAAATGCATATAGTACTCTATCTCCACATTTTTATTTATTTCAATCCACATCTCATACTCTAGTAAAATTTTGGTATGTTCGAGATTCTCTTAAGAAGAGGGCTAAATCTATTAAAAAAAATTAATCTGTAAAAAGGATATGCATTTGTTAAGCCAAAAAAGTTATAAAAATTAGTTTGAACTCTTTAGTAGTTCAGAAAATTAATTTCATAAAACATATAACAATTTATATTACTGACACTAAAATGTTACAAAATGTGGTCAAGCTATTGGAAAGATATAAATTCCTACAGAAACTATATCATCCTAAATTCCGTTCATTAACTGACTGACAATGACTTGAAAGAATCGGCCAAGACAACTGATTCCTAAAATTTTGAAAAAAATAATGGCCCTTTAGTACAATAAAAAAAAGGTAAGCAGCATACCCATGAAACCAGCAGGATATGTCTTGTCTGTCCTCACTTTAGCATCAACCAAAACATGTCGCTGCATTAAAATGGCAATAACCTCACGGTATGTGAGAGCGTACTTCAACCGGTTTCGTAGGATAAGAATCAATGGGAGGCATTCCCTTGATTTATGTGGTCCAGATGAAGGTTTGGGGGCAAATGCACCACCAAGTTTGTCAAGCATCCAATGCTTTGGGGCATTGAGCCTTTTCAAATGCTTCTTCAATCCTCTTGCCTGTCAAAGACGTAGCCATTAATTCCAAATGTTATATTATCTATTCTCAACACCAAAATGCAATACACAAGGCACACACAAATCCAGAGAGCATAAGACAAAACCAAAAGCAATGAACATAGTAACTTTTATGAACATCTTGCAGAAACTCTTATAACATGAAATTCATGAATACGTGGTTACCTAAATTACGGAATGTTTTGAGAGCCGAAAAAGAATCGGTCTTTGACTTCAAAATGAAAACAGAGAAGGAAACTGAAAAAAGAACATGGAAACGAAGCCAGAACAAAAACGGCTTGAACTCAATCAGATACACAACCACACATAAATATAGACCCACATACGGTCATAGAACCACGAAACGATGAATTTCTTATTCCCGTGCCCAATAAATTTTCTCCGCGAACGAAATAAGAAGCGCATTATAAGATCTCCAGATGAGAAACAAAGCTTCAACACAAGCATATCAAAAGATACCTAATACTGATGAAGTAGTCCCCAATTCAACAAGGATCGAAAAATAAATCAAACGGAAACAGAAATAGAAATTGTATGTGAACATTTTAACCCAAAATAACAACGACGAAATGCAACTGATGAGGAAATAATTTGCTAAAAAACCACTAACCATGGCTTCGAAACAAGGAAGCTCGCCGAAGGCTTGAGTTTGCTGCCGCCTCTGAAACTCTTTGGGGAAGGAATTAGGTTTAGTGCTTCAGTTTAAATAGGAGGGCTTAGGGTTTTTACTTACATTTACCAAAATGCCCTACACGATTTTCTGTTTTGTTTTTTTTTAGTATATTTTTTATTTTTAGGCTATATAATTTTAAAAAATTAAAATCACTATTATCTTTTAAATGAAAGATCAAAATAAAGTTAAAAGAAAGATAAAATAAAAGTTTATTTACTTTCTCAAATCTCTTTTTACTAGGTTATAGATATTTGAATTCAAAATAATAAATAAATAAACGACTAATATCAGTTCGGAAAATTATCTCAAATGCTCAAATTAATAATGATATTTGACAAACGTCTATTTTCAATTTTTCCAAATTTATAAATTTAAATTTTGAAATTTGAATTTCAACATTTCGATCCTATATTAATTTGTAAGATCCTTATTTAGGCTTAACATGACTAATATAAGTTTTTATTATTTTCTAAGGCTGTACATGCATGCCTACACCAATAGAGTCGAGGGTGCATATTGGATATTAATATGCAATATATAGTATTGCATTTAAAACTTAGAAATAGAAATGTTATCAAACATGTCCTTAATTAATTATTAGTTTCATTATTTATTTAAGGATGTATATTTCTTTTATTGAATATCTACTTTTTCGATCGAGTCAATTTAATTATTGGTTTCCTTATTATTTTTTTTAAGAATTTGTATTTTTTTTTCTTTTTCCTTTTCATTGAATATTACTTTTTCCTTAATCATTGCCTTCATTCTTTTTTTAAAGGTTTTGTATATTTGAAACTATAGATATATTAAGCTTCAAATGTGAAACTCATTAGTTGTAGCCTATCCAATTGAGAACTCAACCAATGTACAACCTCTCATTGATTCATTAACTAAAATAATAGTTTAAGCACAATTTCAATTTTTTTCCCTAACAAGTGGATCTCGATAAAGACCCATAAACATATGACCAAGAGGTTATAATTCAAATCTCCTACTCCACTTGTTGTACTTTCTCAATGTAGGGCTTCAATATATATAAAAGTTACCAGAGGAAATATTTGTTAGTTTCAAGAACGTTGTTTGATGGTACCTAAAGTGCCCCTATTCCCTTTAACAGGTTAACTTATCAGAAACGATATATGATCTTGATCTGGAACTACTAAAACCCAGTAGAAAAAACTGGTAAAAGATCACAACAAAGCATGAACACAAACAATTACAAGATACATAAAATGGTGGCGCAAAACTATTGAAACTTTACTTTCTATTAGCTAGGTACAAAGACAATAAAATCAATGTGAGAAGTACTTCCTAACATTATCAAGTGAAGTCAAAACTTAGGAGTCTCCCAAAGACGAAGTGAAGAGAAAATCTTCCGTGTTAAGAGACCCCCAATTTGGGAAAGATGGGAGAGAAGTAAAATAAAGCTCTGCCTACCTACTTTGCCTTTCCCCTCTTTCCTTTTTTACCAGACTTTTTAGTAAAAAGTTTTTTACCCCTTGATGGTTTGTTCTTCATGTGCTGAATTCTATTTTTTTTTTCCTTTCTGTTGTTCCTTCTGAATTTGGTCGAGGTTTTTAACTTTCAAATGCACATGAGCATTACGCACTGAATGCTTATTATTTCCTGGATCCAGGGTGTGTTTGAGAGTAATTTTGCTACTTCCAAAATCACTTTTCTTTCCCTAGATCATGTTTGGCAAACTGATTTTAGGAAAACTTACTTAAAATCACTTTAAATTGATTTTTAAGTTATCACTCATATGGTGACTTAAAATCACTATTTTGCCATCACTCTCAAACACACTCTAATAGTCACGAGCAATATTTGTTTTAAGAACAATGTTTCTAAATTACAATAAAAGTACACAAGATGCCCAAAAATAAGGTGCAAAGGCTGAAGTTCTTCAGCCTTTCATCAACCATAGCACAGATCTTTACCTTCAGAGTTTCTCTCATTTCCTGTGTTCTATTTTATGTCCAACCTGTAAATAAATACCATTTACAAGTTGAATCCTAAAGAACATCTGCCCAAGTTTTCAGTGATGCTAAACTATAAAAATTCAGGCGACACCTAAAGAGCCATGGAAAATCCAATTACAATTATTTCAGTTACACTAGGCTTACAAAACCCCTAATTGCCATATCAACTCTAACTCTAACTCTTAAGGAAGATAAAAGACGCACCCTATGGTTTAGACGTCTCCTTTCATGAGTTCATTTCCATCAGTCAAATCTTTTTTCTTCTCTCCAGATTGCATGTACTTCATCGGTTCGAAACCGCTGGGTGAATGTTACTTCCTCCAATGGTGTTGATATGCCATGTGCCCAAGAAAGAAGACCAGTATACGCGATCATTGCCCCGTTATCGATACAATAACGATCATCAGTTGCAAATAACCTCCCACCTCGCTCAGAGCACATTATTCTCATCATCTCTTGCAAGCGCTCGTTACAACCTACGCCACCCACTATAAGAACATCTTTCTTGTCGCAGTGAGCCATGGCTCGTTCTGTGATTTCCACAAGCATAGCAAATAATGTTTCCTAGAACACAGAGCAGTACATTGAAAGTCAATGGAATAGCATTTGTAAGTTATTTGACATAAGAATGGCAGTGGCAGAGTGTACAATAGTTTTACAAATTTGCTCGAAGTTTGAGATCATCCATGAAAGAGCAGAACCCAACTCACAAACTCAGTTTAATTATAGAATGGCCCAAGGTTTATAGACCATCAAAGAAATGGAGACAAACCCCAATATCATAGTAAATACAAATTACCTGTAGAGAGTAGCACAAGTCAGCAGGAGTACACTCATTACATTTTAGCTTCTCCTCAGCAGTGGCTTCAATATAGCTTAATATCCCACTGAATGATACGTCCATCCCTTTCACAACATATGGAAGTTCGATAAACTTTTCTCCCTTCTTTGCAAGCTGTGGATGAAGAAAATCGATAGATCAAGTCAAAGAAAGCACTTTCTAACACATTATATAGCTCAAGCACTTTCTGGGATTCAGCAACAAAAAAAAAGTGATGTAAAAGGAAAAGTGCAAAGGTATATGTAATTGCAATAAATCAAGAGTTAAAACAGGGCAACTGCACGAAGGCAGACTCAGACACATTTTTCCAGCAGAAAAACACAAAATGTATTTAAAATGTTTTCAGCTAAAACACATTTCAAATTAATTATATCACGAAAATAAAGAACAAGGATCAATTTACAACCACCACATTTAAACCACCATACAAATTGTTAAAATCATCCAGCCATTTGAAACATAAAATAGCAAGTAGGGAAAACTGAAACACTGGTGTATTTCAGATCTTGAACCAATGAAACTATGCTATGATACATTTAAGGGTGTAAAAAACATCTTGTTAAATAAACGAACCCTTCTACTACATTTATCAACTTCAATAAGAAAAGAATGTTCAAATATCCCCCTAGGATGAAGATTACAGTTGACCACTGTGAAAGGTTCGTATTACTGTAATTGTACCTAAATAAAAATAGCAATAAAGTCACACAAGCACAAGTTGCTATTTCCTTTTTCCTTTTCTAAACTATCAAATGGAAACAAGGAGCATTTTTGCTTATAACATCTTTCCCACCTTGAATATTATGCCATATCACTGTAAATTTCTTCTTCAAATATCACATATCATATGCATATTAAAAAAACTGAAGTAACACATGCACCTTCTAAAATGGTAAGCAAGCAAAGATCATACATAATTTACAACGTTTCACACGTTTCGGTGAAAATCCTTGAATAAGACTTATTCATTAGTTTCTTCCAATCCAAGAACATAAAAGCTAAAACTTCTATCAAAGATTCCTTTTCAGACTCGCTTGCACTATGAAGGTTCTACATCCCTTACTATAATCCAATGAAAAGAATACATGGAATAGTTGAAAAACCTATATAATCACTTTTCAACAACACACCTGTTCAATATTGTATCCAGGACTTGGATCATTAGATAATGTTAGGACCCTTGCAAACCTGTCCAAGCAGTTTCCGACCGCAATATCAATAGTTTCCCCAAAGATTCTATACCTTCCTTCACTGTAAGCAATCACCTGAGTATTCCCACCACTAACATACAAGACAACAGGATCATCAGCACCAGTCACAATCCTCCCCATTTCAATATGAGCAACACAGTGGTTAACAGCAACAACAGGCTTATTCCAAATCTGAGAAAGAACCCTCACAGCAACAGCAGAAACCTGTAGTGGAGCTCCCATGCCAGGCCCTTTAGTGTAACAGAGGCAGTCAATATCCTCTGGCGTAATTTTGGCAGTTTCCAGAGCAGACTTAACCAATGGAAGAATGTGCTGAAGATGGTGATGTGCAGTTTCGCGAGGAAGGAAGCCATGCCCAGGAGGTGTAATGTAAGTGTGGCGTGGGTTTGATAAAATATCCCCATCTAAGGTCACAACCCCAACACCAATCTTGTTAGCTGAACCCTCAAAACCAAGAGCTATCATTTTCTTCATTTTTCAAAAGATTCGAAAAACCCTGTAGAAAACAAAAAACTGAAAAATTCAATCCTGAAAAACCGTGAATTCCGGAGTCGGATAGCAACAAACAGAACAGAAGTTAACTATAAGAAGGCCAAAATTGAGACGAAGTCAAAGAAACAAAAACTGAAAAGTGGCAGATGAAATTAGAAGCTTGTATGATAATCAAAACGCAAAACGCAAAACTACTGCAATATGCATCATTTAATCTGTCTAACTAGAAACTGGGTATGAAGTAGTAGAAGAGAGAAAGTAGAACTGACCAGTACGTCCTTCGTCTTCAACCTCCCACCACCTCAAACCAGAAATCACACCCTAAAACCACCAAAAATCAAACAGAAACCACCGATGTCAAAACTCCGACCCCTCAAATAGCCGGAAAATAAAAAATCCTAACCTTAAAATCGACGCAAACAGTAAAAACTTGAGTAAAATGGTATTTCAAGTGGTCCAAAGAAAATCGATCGAACTCCTGAAAAAACGAGCACAGATTTTTTTGAGTTTGGATTTGAAAAGGCAAGAGAGCATGGGAGAGAGAACGCGAGAGATGATTGAAATACACCCAAGTACAGTTTTGTAACAGTTTTTTCGGGCAGAAAAGCATATTTTGAAAAGTTGGTCATTTGAGTAAATTGAAAAACTTTTAGGTTATATTGGTCCATTTCCCCTGTAAATTTGGTTCGGTTATTCACACTGCACTTGCATTTCGTCTGCTTTCCTTAAAAAAAATTAATTAATAAAAGGAAAAAAAAAAAAAGACTCAAGTCTGCTTTGAACCGCTGACCAAACCGAACTTACCCATTTTCATTTTTCATTTGTCGGTTTGGTTCGGTTTTTTTTATAACCTACCGGGAATCGAAATAGTGATGTTTGTTCAAGACTTTAACCTTTTTGTTTGGTTCAATAATCCTATTGCAGTGGGTGATTAAATCATCAATTTCAAGGATGGTAATAGTTGCACGAAACTCAATTGAATTTTTGTTTGACTAAATATTACATCCAGACAAATTTTGCCTTTATTTTTTGAGGGAATTACAAAAGTTTATGTATTTAAATACAGCGTTATGTTTAAAATTTTACAAAAAGGGAAACTTTACAAAATAAAATGCTACTGCGAGGTATTGAAATGCTTGTCCCCAAAACATTATTGTTTGTTCATCACTAAATGTTGTGCTATTATGCCTCTAGAACTCTCCACGTAAAGCTCAAATCAAGATAAATTTAACTCCCAACTTAAGTATTTTATAATACACAAGTTATGAGAAATCCACCAAATCAAAATCTACATATTCAAAATTACAGTACAAACTAGTAATACATCTCCATCAGAAGCAGAACATTCAAGCAGAAACATAGCCTACTGCTCCTAAAAATCAAGAGGCATTCCAAACATTTTGTTTATGTCATCCATGGCCTCCTTAGTAAATACTGTTGGCTCAAACAAATCACGTTCTTTTGATTTTCCTGATGATTTTACTGGAGGCTGAGCCTGTACAGGTTCTAAATCATCATCAGGAAGTATTGAGAACCCACCAAAATCATTACGCACTTCTGGTGGCTTCGCATGCTTCTTCGATCTCCCAGTCCTCACAAATTCAATGGGCTCCCCAAACATGTTGTTGATATCATCCATGGCTTCTTTCAGGTTAACTGTTGGCTCTACTAAACCATGGTGGCAAATGTTCTCCACCTCTGGCTCATGAGAAATGGCAGTACCAACAAACCTACAAACAATTGTATCTTCCCTAAACTTTGCTTGAATAGGATCTTGTATATCAGGATCATCGACATCTTCGAGATTCTCCACACAAGGAAACACAAATGCATTTGCACGTGAAGCAGATGTTGTAGAGCCTCCCACAAAATCTCGTGATTCGCTCGATTTTGAACCATCCTTTTCATAACTTGTGTTGCCAATCTCACCACCTGCTTCATCATCCACAAAAATCATAAAAGGCGGTTGTTCTGGTTGGCGGGGTTGGGATATACTACCATGATGTGGGACTGTAGATCTCTCCTGCTTTTCCAGTTCAGTTTTGTTATCAAGGTTCTCATCAACAAACACCTCAAATCCACCATTTAAGTTGCTATCTTTCTTTGGATGGCTTCTATGTGACCCTCCCCTACCAACAGAAGCCATCTCTAGCGGTTCAGCAAACATACTATTTATTGCATTCATTGCCTCTTTCATATTGACTGTTGGTTCCACCAAACCAAGGTGACGAGGATCTTCTGCAGCTTCAGATTTCCCATATATGGCGCTATCAACAAATTTGACAACAACGGTATCATCGCTCTTAAACATCCTAGATTCATCTGCTTCTCTCTCTGCTACATCTTGAGGCATCTTCTCAGTTTCATTTCTACTATCAATTAATGTTACAGCTAAAGGTCCATCCTGAAAAATTCCTTTGTCTTGAATCTCCGCTCTGATGATACTAGTATTGTTTGCCTCAGTGTCACCACGATTAGAAGTGCTTTTTTCAGACAGATGCCTCCTTGAAGTTCTTCCTTGCTGGTGCTGCAGGATGCCTGCTGTTCATTAGAAAGCTACATTTACCGTACCATAGACAGCAAGCGAAATACATCCTTATAAAAAGGCTCACCTGGACTCTCTTGTAATTGTGTCTTTTCATGCGATGAAGAAACTGCTCGTATGACCTTTGTAATTCATCAATAGGTTCAGCAAGCCTGTAGAACAATCAAAACACGTTATTCCATCTTAGGTTTTTGACATTAATACCAGCTACTTCTATTGATGATTTAATAACGTAACTGTTAATGCAGATATGAAAGTTAATCATATTATTAACCAATATTATAGAGAAAAGCCATGTTATTCAGACTTTAGGCCATGAGAATTATATAATGTAACAATGCGTCTTGAAATCACAAAATTCTAGAATAGTTTATTCCCTAAAACAATTAGTTTAGAACTAATAACTTTGACAAGCCAACCAAGGGAGCATTTACATCCAGAAAAATAATGCAGTCAATCTCATACAAGAATTTATTGGAGTAATTAGCCAAAAAGGAAAGCATTCATACATATGTTATTGAGATAAGCATTCACAACAAAAGAACAGAAGAACAGCAAAAGATAAAACTGCTGACCAAAATTAACATGCTAGTGGAAGTTAAAACTGCTGCACAACAAAAGATATACAGATACGCACATATCAATTCTTCAGTCTCAGTTAAGTCTCATTGCTTCAATGGATTTACTTCCCTTCTGTTTTGTAGGATTTCCTCATAAGACTATCAACTAATAACCTTAGCCAAGGCTATCTTAGTTTCCTTGAAACTCGTTGAGTTTCGGGGACGTCTAAGGGTATCGTAAACCATGGGAATCCACCAATGCCATTATGTACCGGGCATGGGCAATTATAACGAGAACCTAAGATTATTAAGTAAATAATAATTTGAAAGATCACAAGGTGTAACCATATATGTTTTGAAAAATATAAAGTGAGAAAAGTTTTAGTCCATCATAGTTTCCAAGAAAAAACTTGTGAAAAAGAAGCTACAAAACAAGTGTCACTCTTAGATGCCTCATGCAATTCTCTAGCAAAACCAGATATAGCAATTTACTATTCTCAAACACCCATCTCTAAATCATCAATTCTCCGGAGGCATTCAATAAAATGTGTATAACCCAGTTGGTTTTCGTTCATACAAAAGGGGCCAAAATTTAATAGTTAAAATCAATCATAGCATGAAGCTACACATACATATAAGAGAATAAGACATAACATGGTACCAAGAAGCAAAATAACCAACATTTCATGTGCGAACTTAAACTTTCAGTGTCCATGAGGACAGGGAATGTTTTGGGAGTACAGAAATGGAGAAAAAAGAATCTCACCTAAAAAGTTAAATTTTGCAAGCAAACTTCTTAAATAGAAAATCTACTTACTTCTGCACTCCTAAGTGGTACATTTTATCAGCATCATCAAACTTCTTAAGCTTCTCGTAGTACAAGGCGTATGCTTGATAGAACAAAGAAGATTTCGCTCCAATGCGTTTTGCTTCCATAGTTTTCAACAGCGCATTTGGGTCATTCACGTAATCCATCTGGTCATCAGGATTGAAATCCAAAATCAACCATCATAAGCTATAACCACTAATTCTAACTACACTAATTAGCAACAATCTATAACTTTAAGCTTCAAATTTCACAGAATCCAAACAATAGCCAATAAAGTTAGGAGAAATATAAACAGTCCAGATGGATTAATATGTTACCAACTGTAACCAAACGCGAAGGTACCGCAAATCGTCCCTATAACGCCGATCGGACTCGAACTTCTCGACGCATTTCTGTAAGAATCGAGGGAGCTTCTCGTTTAAAAGATGAGAGGGCAACGAGTCTTTCATTTTCCGAATCCCTCTGCAACGAAATGGTAAGGGTTAAGCTCTGAGACGCAGAAACAGAGAGATGGGAGTGTAATTTGTTGAGGGCTTACCGGAGCCATGGAAGTAGAGGGTCTTTGCCAGAGTATGACTTGATGTCTGAAATCAAAGAGGAGAATAGGTCGTTGCTGGCCATGGCCATACACTTCGAAGCAGAACAATGAGCAGAGATGAAAATGGCGCTACTCCTTTCCGTTTTTGAATTGATTTCCTTGACCCGCTCTGGCTATGGCCCATGCTTCGGGTCCGAATTGGGCTGACGAGTCGGGATTAGGCCCAGTTCTAGGGCTTTTTTGACAAAATATTATTTTTTTACTTCTAACCAAAATTAATTAATTAAAATATGTCCTCTCTTTTCTTTTAAAAAAATGTCATCTCCTTTTTTTAAAAAACAAAGATAAGTAGATATAGGAATTCAAACTTATGTCTTCTGGTCATAACCATTTGAACTAAGCTTAAGAGATGGTAAAATATGTTATCTTACCTCGTCAACATATTACTAATTGTTAAATAGTCTTGCTCTTTTTTTTTAGAGATCGAAGGTTCAATCTCTCATCCTATAGGGATGGTTTTCTTGATGATGATATTTAAAAACTTAAGTGATGGATTCTACTTTAATAATAAAGTAGGTTTGAATAAAGAAAAGTTAGCCTACACATTATTGATGACAATAGTCTTGGGCAAGAAACAAAAATTTGGGGTGCCCTGTCAGACCAAAATAAATTGTATATATAAGTCACAATTTAGAAATAAATCAGGTAATACTTCTAGTTCTATAATAATATTCCAGGGAAAAAAAAGAAATAGTTTTATAATATTACAAAATTATATCATTATTTTAAACTTAAATTGTAATATTTGTCTAGAGAAAAACTTAAAATTTAAGATAATACCTTTTATTGTTATTAATTTTTTTTTTTGCAACCTGTTGCAAACCACCCATAAATTATAAAACTTTTAATACAACAACACTCTCACAATTATTAGTTGAATGATGAGTGTCTTAATCAATTCAATTAAGTTTGTCATGAACTAGAGTACGTGGCAAATTAACCAAAAGTTTTTAATTCAATAAGAAGGTAAAACTACAATATTACAATTACCCATACAAAAAATATTTCCATTTCAATAACTACAATGTTTTATGTTTGGCATTGAATTCTTCAAAGTTAGTAATGACAAATGGTATACTAAATTACCAATTGAATATTTCTTTTTAAACAAAACTTTGTAGACGGTTCTTTTAACTTCTTTATGATATTGTTTCGCTTTGGGTATAGTCTTTATGGCTTTGCTTTTGATTTCACCCCAAAACCCCATACTAATGAAGATCATTGTTCTCTCTTATATATCCATGATCATTCCCTTTCCCCAACCAAAATGTGAGACTTTGTTTATAATCACCTTACAAACCCAACAAATATTTTAATACCAAATCACTATCAAACATTAAAATACAAACCTAAGATTTATTATAATTATTGTTCATACTTTATGTTTGGGTTATTAAAAAAAATATAAAACATAATTTGATTTGTTTCATTTATATCTAACTAAATATATCAAATAGTCCCTAATTTTTCTAAGTGATTCTCGACTTATTTTTCAAGCCTCCTAAAGTTCTCAATTTTACCTTAATGTATTAAAAATGATCAATTAAATCATTTCTTACGAGGAAAAAAAAAGTTAAAAGTGACTAATGAAATGTATCGTCATTAAATTATTATATTTTATTAATATATTTAGACATGTAGATATTACGCTTAATAATGACATTTGATACGTTAAAGAACCAATTAGATTTTGTAGGTTAAAAGTACAAATTAAGGGACACAACTCCAAAAAGAAAAAAAAAACTCCTCCAAACATATTATTAATAAAACAATAATTTATTGATACATGGATTTGTTGTTTATAAAATTAACTATTTTTTTATGTAAAAATCTAATTGAAAATTCTTAATACAATAAAGATAAAATCGATAAATTTTAAAAATTAAGTACTTAATTAAGAATAATTAAATATAAAAACGAATTTATTTAGCCTTTATACATAGGTTCATTAAAATTAGTATACAAACACATATGGCCTCGCACATTGGTCAAACATATAGTCAATTTCGACCCATAGCATAGATTCATAGGAAGACCATGTCAAATAATAATAATATCACGAAAAAGCATATATCCGGATCATATATATAAATATAATTATTAATCATATTCATGATACATGATCCCCGCTTAATTAAAACTTAAAAGTCGGTTAATTAGTTAGTTAATGGGTGAGGAAAATTTGGTATGATCATGCTGATCCTTACGAAACGTGTTCTTGTTGTTATGCATCCAGACCTTGAGCACGCGCCGCTTCACGCCGATCGCGTTGCAGAACTCCGCCACCGCCGCCTCGTCCTCCTTCTCGATCCGCCACTCCAGCTTCTCCGCCATCCCCAACATCTTCTCCTTCTGCTCCTCCGTGAACTTCGTCCGCATCCTCTTCCTCCCCATCTCCGCCGGCGCCGGCAGGGCCAGCATCCGCCGCTCCGGCGCCACGTGGAGGTACCCCGCCGGAGCCCGGCTGTAGGAGATCAACGGCGCGTCCTTGCGGTGGAAGTTCCGGTGGCAGGTGCAGGCGGCGCATTTGAGGGCGTCGAGGGAGCCGTCGGGCCCGGCCGGCATGAACTCGCCGCAGCCGTCGAGGGCGTGGCCGCCGAGGGCGACGGCGTGGTTCTTCAAGCACTCTCGATAGGTGGGGAGGTTGGTTTGGACCGGAGTGGGGTTTTTGTTGAGCCGGGGAGCATGAGGTGGGTTGTGGTTGCGGAGTAGTGGTTTGGTGGTTATAACTGCTTCCAAATCCAAATCCAAATCAACTTGTTGCATGCGTTCTTCGTGATCTTCCAACTCCATTGATGACTCACTCTCTCACTCTAAAGCTTATGCGATGGTGGACAGAGGAAGACGAAGGTTTCTTCTTCTAGCGTAGGGATTTAATTACCCTGTGCACCCACCGGCTCTACCCAGTGCCGGTAATTCTAATTTTCCGCACCTTTTTTTTTTCTTTTTTTCATACATTTATGCATGGAAGGAATTTAGCTAGGACAAATAATTTAATTTGACGTGATTTTCCACTGCCCACCACTAATAACGTTTTTGATAGGGAGGAGGTGAAAATCTTTTGAATGAGATTGCCACGGCAAATTATATGGTTGGATGTAGATTTGAAAATTTTCATTTACCTTGATAATTACTCATTATAAATTTGAGGTAACTTTATGTTAAATTTTGTCTAGTGGTGGTCCCCTTTAATAATTTTCCAAATAAAATAAGAATTTGATTAAGTGAGGCGATGATAGTAAAATTTCTATTGTCCAATTCTTTATACATGGCTTAAATACTATTATCTAATTGATTTTTTTATTAAAAAATATATATTGCATATGAGTATATGGGTGGGAGATTTGAATTTTGCAGTACTTTCGATGTGAGGTGGCTCCAGCCTTTTGTTTCAAATTTTACTTAAAATTACTTCAGTTAGTCTTTATTATTAATTTTCTTAAATAAATTGTTGACAAATGCAATTTTTTCTTTTTTTTTATAAACTAGTTTTTGGACCCAACTTATAAGCGGGGGAATTTATATAAATAACATGTATTCACAAATATAATAAAAAGTTTGTAATTTTATTAAAATAACATAATTTAAATCCAACTCAAATGTAATAATAAAATATACTAAAAAAAGTCCATTCTATTTTGAAAAAATTGAATAGTTATGATATTTTAAAAATATATATTAAATTTATGCTACTTAGTGAAATTCCACCAACAAATCTGCCAACCAGTTTAAAAAACAGAACTTTTATGTTAAATTATAAACGAAAAATTAACAACTTTCTATGGATAGTTTAAAAAATTAAAACATAATATTTGAAGACTGTAGGACTAAAATAAGATATTTAACATGTAAATAGCACAATGAGAAAAAGTTTAAAGTCTGGGGTTGGAAATAATAGAAATTGAATATTTATTTATTGTAATAAAAAAATTGTTTGGACTGAAAAGAGAGAAATGCTTTTGATCTTCAGGACAGAGGGGAATGAATCAAATGTCTGAATCAAACATCTGATAAAGACAAAAGAGGGAAATCATTTTTCGGTTGATTCACAATATGAATTTTATATTAAGAAATTATATAACTTTAAAAAAAAAAAATCAAAATTGATATTTGGTTTCTGCATCACCACGTCGTTTATATTCAGAAGAAGAGAATTTTCTGTCAATGGGATAAGAGAACTGAATCTTGCTGATCGATCTCCCGAATCTACGATAAAAACAACTTTATTGTTGCTCTTTCTCAAGAAAAAATGAGCCAAATTTATAAAAATGTTAATTTATTAGAAAGAAATTATAAATATATTTCATCTATTGTCGTCGAAATTTTATATTAGAACTGACCCATTCCACCTTATCTTGTTATGTCAATGACCACATAATCAAATATTTTGAAGAAAAAAAATGCAACAAAAGTAAAATTACATAGTTTTTTTTTTAAAAAAAATAGGTAAATAGTTTAGCATGTATCTTAAAGAACTTAATTTTTTTCAACATTAAAAAATAATAATAATAAATTAATATGAACTTAGCTCAACGATAATTGACAAATGTTTTCGATTATTAGATCACGAATTTGAATCACTCCCCGTCTCTTGTACTAAACAAAATAAAAGAAAAATTTTAAAAAGGGTTAAAAATGTGATCTCATTTACAATTATTTATAGTAAAGTTGATGTGTTAACAGTTAACAGAGACAATTTTCAAGTGATGGTTGGAGTGGAAGAATAAAAGAAATGGTAAAAAGTTAGATGATATTCAGAAAACAAATAATAAAAAAGAAAATAAAAGAAAAGCAGCAGAGACAAAAATGATTACACAAATTGAAACTCGACAGCAAGTACACGGCTACAAAAAACCATGCGACCTCAAATATGTGACATAAAAATGTCAATCACCCTCACCACCACCCCTTTTCTCTGCCAAATATATTAATAAAACCATCGTAAAATTAATCTCATTTTACTTCATAAACTTTAAACATCGTAAATTTCTGTTTACGAGAGTTACAATCTTAGAGTGACGTCAATTCAAACATTACTTTAATAGATAAGATAATGAAGGAGAGAATTTCTAATTCTAAGGGAGTACTTTACATAGTAAATAGAAGAAATGAACGCCACATCATTTATAATACATTATTGATGTGGCAAACAATAAATTGAAAGGAATATGATACTTTTGTAATCCTAGAAATTTTTCTACAGTGTAATGTGCGACATGTCGGCTATTAATTTCAATTAAAAGGAAGAGCCACCTTAGCTTCAACTTATTAATTATTTGTCGTAATTAAAATGCTGGAAGTTTTGATAGAGTAAAAGTTGAATATGCGATTTGAACTAAGGATATTTTCTTTTCATATTGTTAAAAAGGGTTATGAAGAGGAAGTAAAATTAAATAGGTACGAGGGAAGAAGATCCAATGATGGTGGAGAATTTGGGGAATACACTATACGGCATATTACAAGCAGAAGAAGACAAAAAGGGAAATGGGTTTTGCAAAAGTGCAAATATTTGAGAGGAATTGTTGTTGAATGTTGTGTGGTGTGTCAAAATGCATTCTTTTGCCCGTAAATTTCTCCACCGTGTGGCTGGAATTGTCGTTTTCATTCACAAATCACAATCACAGCCACAGCCTGCAATTTCAACGCTTTGTGTTCGTGCCTCTGCTGCTGTATATTTTGCCGTACTGTTTATTTGGGGGGAGCCTCTGCCCTCTGCCCTCTGCCCTTTCGTTTATGTTCCATTATTCAGGTCAGCAGGATGAGTAATAATGTTGTACAGCAGCAGATTTGGCCTTACAAACTTTGTGCTGCTTCCCTATGGGGCTATGGCTGACATAAAGCAAACAAATACTGCCATTTTCCATTATCTTTTTCCCCCATCAAATTACTACCTCAGATGACTGGTTGCTTGCAACCCAATCCTACTCTACTGTAATCTAACATTTATGCCAAATATGCCACTCATCTTCTTTCAAATATATATTATATAATAATTGGCTTGGATCACTCAACTAAACTATCCGAGTAGATTGAGCTTATTAGTGGTTAAATTTACTCTAATCTACCGCCTGAGACTTTTGACTTTATTGATAATTATTTAACATATTTAAAATGACATTAGAGAAGAAGGTTTTGTGTTCAAATTTACTCAAGAAGCTTATTTGGAGAATTAAGTCACTAGAAACTATTAGATTAAACATTTTGTTAGTAAAATTATAGCCACTAGATCATCATTTTGTCTGATGTCCAGGTCAAGATGTGTGACAAAATCTATGGCCACTAAATAATGTACTATGTTTAGTACTAATAAGTGACATATGACCATAGAAATTTACTTGATGAACAAGTATGAATTAACTCGTTGAACTATGTTTTGGTTGATATTATTATTATTATTCATCGAAAAACTTTTTTTTTTTTTGATAGACATTGAAGAACAAATTGGTTATATATATATATGGTAATAATAATATAGCACTTTATTTCAAGCAATCTTCTGGTCCCATATATAGAAGCCAAATTCGACTATAGCTAATGTTTTTTATTTGAGCAATCAAGAAAGTTCCCAACACGACAGTAGTGGACTTTTGGCCGCACTTTTTCCCCTCACCAAGCTTTTTGTTTTGTTTGAGAAAACAATATTCGTATTATAGTAATTATCAACATTTGATCTCATAAATAATACTCCATTAAATGTAATTTCCGCATTAATTTATTTGGCATCTTCTTTTTCTTATTATTATTTTTAAACATAATCCTCTATTATCTTTTATAGGGTAATATGTGTACATTATTTTTAGAGTTGTACGCAATAACTGATCTTGTTTAATGATCAAAACTAATTAACAGACGGAGAAGATCAATACCAGGTACTTCAAAAGTCTAGATACACTTGCTCTAAAGACTAAAGTATGAGTCAACTTTTTACTCTGTCCTTTTACTCGAGGCAAGATTAGAGATATCATTAAACAAAACCCAAGAAGAAGATAATTCACATCCTCTTTAATTGATTGACTAGATTCGAACAGTCTTACTCAATCCATAAATATTTAAGTCTATGTTTCTTGTAAAATTCAATTCTAATTTCCTACGTTGCATATGCTTCTAGAACTAAATAATCGAGGTTCCTTTATCCACAAACGATAAAGCACCTATATAAAATAATGGTTTAATAGACTCAATAAATAGAATTTACTAATATAATCCTCGCCAAGGCCTCCCCGCCCCGCGGGTAAAACGAGCTTCGTGCCACGTCACCACACGGGAATTGGGATTTTGATGGGTCAACGATAAATGCATTGGCCCTTGGGCTTAAAATTGATCTGATACTTTATACGAAGGCCCACATATATTTAAGCCCATTATACCCACAATAATATAACGAATTTTACGTTTTTTGTAAGGGAAAAAAACAAACAAAAGAAAAGAAGTTCAATTTTGTACTTAATGAATGAACCAGCGCGATAAAAACAAATATATATACATATTGCTATTTTTGTAATGACATCATTATTAACTTCAAATAAAGATATTTTAAAATTAAATAAATAGAAAATATAAAAAAGAAAGTTAATGTTTTGCATGAGAATTGAGCATGGGTTGCAGCGGAGAACATAAAATTTAGGTGGATATATACCTTCCAATTTATAAAGCACAATATATATTATCTACTATAAACGGAAACGAAAATAAATAAAAATGGAAATAGAAGGAATGAAACTACTTTTGTAGTTTCCAAAATTTAATCTCTTTTTTATAAACGGTTCTCAAAATTTAGAAACGAAGAACAAAATAGATTACCAAACAAGTATGTTTCTAAAAAAAACGAGAAACGAGAATAAAAACATAAAACGTTACCAAATAGATCCGTAGTTGACAAAAAATTAGAGGTTGAAATCCAATTATAAACAAAAGATTAGAGCCTTACTGGGGACAATTTTTTCTTAATTTACCATTTAAAATTAATATATATTATATATATATTATATTTTATTTATTAATTAGTATTATTAAATTAAACAAATATCAATTAAAAAATATATTGGTGCTGTAAAAAATAACAGTAATATATTTTTTTTCTAAAAAAATAGAGATTTCATTAGTTTAGTTAAGTTGCGTTTTGGGCTACGGAAGAGGAAAAATCCCTCACAGGAGGAAACCTATAAGGCTTTTAGTTTTGAAATACCGTGTATAAAGTAAAAAGAAAAAAAAATTCCGAATATTAGAATAAAATATTCGTATTGGAAAGTGAAGTTAAAAAGGGTTGCATTCCTTTTCCTGATCAAATTGGGGTAAAGGAAACCTATAAATAGAGCGGGAGACGAAGCGTGAGAATCAATTTGATAGTTATAATGGCGGCTTCGACTTCGAACGGTAACGCAGAGCAGAATGATAATGAGGAGCTTCTATGGGCGGCCATCGGCGCCGGGAAGCTCAATACAATCCAACGCCAACTTATCGTCGACAATGCATTCGCCACCAACGATCAAGATAATTTCGATCTGCTTTCCAGAATCAAACACCGCCTCCATAGGTACATTATTCACAATCA